GATATTAGAAACACCAATCAAGCAGAACACAGCAAACTCCAATAAACACAGACCAAGACTCCTAACCAATCAGGATGAAGAAAAAAACCATTCTAACACAGCAGTAGGCTAGCACCAAATTTAAAACAGAAACGGCTGTGAAAGCCTGCCTCACAGACAAACACAATACAGAAGCCTGATGATGGCAGATGAGATTCTGCCGAAACCCGAACAAAGCTGAATATATTTGTTTTGTAGATTTTCACGGGTACAGGTATGCAGGTCTTGGCATGTTCAGGTCTTTTCCCGTGTAAGATTGAGAGTATCTTGGCGACATTTCGATGAGGTCCCACTTGCCACCTTCAGGCTGGTGCTTTCGGCTTCATGCTTGTGCGAGCAAAGTGTGATTGGAGCTGCCGTCTCTCTATACATACTGGTGGCGAGGTGTGGTGTGCTGGCTCTGTTGTAAGTGGGCTGGCTGGCTGTGTTGTCATTTCTTGATTGGTTGATGGAGTTGATATTTGCAGATTGATTGGCTTTTTCATAAGAACCTATGTGGCTGAGGTACTGGCTGTGTGTCTATCAACCTCCTGTGTTGTAACAACCTGGGTAAAGGGCTCTGTGATGACCTTCTGAGTTCAGGAAAATCTGATGTTCAGGAAAAGACTTGAACATGCCAAGACCTACATACCTGTACCCGTGAAAATCTACGAAAACACACACACACACACACACACACTGCCGGGAGGGTGGGATCTCCACATGCAATGGGTGAAAAAAATCAGGAATCTGGGCCAAGTAGTCCTCGAATTATGACTACCATTGAGCCCTAAATTTCCCATTGCTGAGCAAGATACTTGCTTGGCTGAGTTTTGTCCCATTTTACGGCCATTCTTGCAACAACGATGGAAGTGAAGCACTGCAGTTGTGAAGGGAATCTAGCTTCCCCCGTTAACCTGGCTGGTCACAAGGTCACAAAATGGGATCTCGTCAATCCCGAAACCCTGCAACTGTCATAAATATGAAGCAGTTGCCAAGCGTCTGAATCGGGGATACTTGCAACGGTTGTAAGTGTGAAAAACAGTCGTAAGTCACTTCGGTGCTGCTGGGATTTCGAACAGCCACTAAGCGAATGGTTGTAAGTCGAGGACTTTCTGTACAGGTAGCCCTAGACTTACAACAGTTCATTTTGTGACAGTTCAAAAGTTACATCTCTTCACAACACCATTGGCTAGTTGGTATTTCTCAACTTTGGTGCTTCTAAGACAGGGGTGTCAAACCTAAGACCTGCAGGCCACATCTGGTTTATGGAGTGCTTAGATGTGGCCAGTGGAGCCACCTTAGAACCAGCTAAAGATCAGTCCATGGTGCCCTTGCCAGTCAAAATGGCGCTCGGGAAGGCCACACACATCCCTCACAGGCTCCATTTTCAGCTGCGATGGCCTCCTGCAGCCCTCTGCCAGCAAAAAGGAGCTCAGGGCAGGCCGCAAACTCCGTTTTCACTGGCAGACAGCTACAGGAGGTTGTCATGACCAAAAACGGAGCTGGGGGGAACCACGCGCACCCCTCCCGAGTTCCGTTTTTGCTGGCAGAGGGCTATCAAAACAAACTACTAGCAAAAGTGGCATTTTGATCGCAAGGCAAGGAGGCATTGAGAAATTCCTCTGGAGACAATGTCCCACGCCCTGTCTGGGCCACCACATGTGCCCCCGACACAAATGACATCGAGCCGGCCATGCCCACGCCGGCCACGCCCACACCCCTGACCCTGCGAGGTCAAACACAACCCTGATGCAGCCCTCAATGAAATCGAGTTTGACACCCCTGCTCTTCTAAGACGTGTAGACATCAACTCCCAGAATTCCCTAGCCAGCATGCTGGCTGAGATATTCTGGGAATTGAAGTCCATGCATCTTAAAGGGACGAAGGCAGAGGTGATATTCAGCAGGTTCTGACCAGTTCTGGAGAACCGGTAGTGGAAATTTTGAGTAGTTCGGAGAACTGGCAAATCCCGCCTCTGACGGGCCCCGCCCCCATCTATTCTCTGCCTCCCGAGTCCCAGCTGATTGGCTGGGTCTTCTTTCGTTGCTCTGCACAGGAGAACGGAGCTGGAAAGCAGGTTAGTGGGGTGGGGAGGGAATGGAGATTTTGCAGTAACCTTCCCCTGCCATGCCCACAAAGTCACACCACGCCCACAAAGCCATGCCCACAGAACCGGTAAAATTTTTGAATCCCACCACTGGACCAAGGTTGAGGAACACGAAAATAGGCCCCAAAAGCTTAATTTTGAAGAAGCTATTTAAAGCACAGCAATGGGTATTGAGAAATTCCTGCCTCTACCCTTACCCTCTTTGAGAATAAAAATCAGCTAAACATTTTAAGCCGTAAGCTCTGCAAAGGAAACACCACATATCGGATGCCTTCAGGCCTCCAATTTGGAAAAAGCTGCCAGACATTTGTTAAAGCAGGGATTTAGTACCAAAAAAAGGAAGAATTGTTCCATTTCTTGGAAAATGTTAAACTCCCGCCTCGATAGCTGAGGCTAAAAGTTTAATTCCTGAGGCAAACTTCCGCCAGCAACTTTTTTAGTGGCTGTGTGAGACTTGAAAGTTAAATTAAGAAGTTAAATAGATGCATTATGCTTCAGGTTTTTTTTTTTTTAAAGGAAATAACTTCTTCACTTCTCAAAATTTTCCCCAGAACATTAAATCTATCTGTTGCCCCTGCAGGGTCTCGTGATATCATTGCTATCCTCTTGTGATGCTAGAAGGTTAATCTTGTTTAGTAACTGCTGCTACTGAATAGAAGAACAATCCTGCAGCTATTGTGCTTAAAAGTTTCGTGGAACTATTGGGTTTTAAAGTTTCTTGGTTTTTTTTGTTTCTCCCGCAACGAAATAAATCTATCAAAGCAAGGGTTTGGTGGATTGGATGACCTTATCTCTTGCATTGTGACATCTTGATGTCATTTGGGGGTCATCCTGATTAGAAACACATCCTGTTTCCATTCCATGTTTGTTTCCTTAGCTCAAATGCAGCCTGAAACCTTAATCGGGGTTTTTTTTTTTAGTCGATGACGCTAAAGGCAAATTGACTTCGCCTGAATCTCAAGACCTTTTCTCTGATCTGTCTCTGAAAGAATTCTGCAGAATTCCAAAGCTTGCACCCAAAAACTGCAACTTTCTGTAGCCTCCAAGCTTCTTGGGCATCACTTCTCCAAGTGGAGAGAGAGACCTCGCATTCAGAATTCCCTTGACACCAGCCATTCTCTCCAAAACTTGCAAGAAATTCCTTCCTCTCTCCATTTTGCTCTCTTGCACTGCTTCATACCAGACAGCGATAAATGTGAGTCAGAACAGGGCAAGGGGAAGAAAAAAAGGGAGTGAGAGAAGAAGGCACGCTGTGCGTTATCAGGAGGTGCAAATGGCCCACGAATCCCAAAACCACCGCTTGTTGATAGACACCCAAGAGGCTCTACTCTTTATCTTCACAACTTTGTGAAGCCACTGCAAAAAAAAAAAAAATGTGCTTTTTTTTTTCCACCCCTCCCAGCCTGGCTGAGCTTCCTTTGCTGTTCTCCTGTCCTCCTTCAAAATTTCTCCAAAAACTCAAATGTTTCTCAATAAAGGATTTGTTCCAACGCTCCCGCTCCAGAGGCTGCTATCCCATCAGCTCCTCCTGCATTGGGGAGGCGAAGAAAAGAGAATTTGACTCTCCCTGTCTTTTCTTTTATACCACTGTCTCGTTTCCTTTCCCAGGCTTCATCCACCCGTCTGCCCTCTTGGCTCCCCGTTTTACCCTCCCCGAATTCACCAGTCTATTGGAGCACTTTTGCCAAGTGTGCAGCGTCTTGGCCGACCAAATCCACATGCCAGACGTGATGCCCACCAGGAGGGACATGAAAATCTTGAGCATCTCCACAGCCATGTTGGAGGCATCCGCGGAGTAGCGGAAGACCCCCCAGTTGGAGATCTCATAGAAGTAACAGGCAATGACGCAAGTGGCGGGCACGGTGTAGAGCACGGAAAAGACCCCAATCTTCACCATCAACCTCTCCAGCTTGTCTGTTTTGGTCCCGTCCTTTTGGAGGTTGGACCTGATCTTGAACAAAGCCACCAAGCCGGCCGCAATGAAGAGGGTCCCGATGACCAAGTAGGTGAAAAGGGGAGCCACCACAAAGCCCGTCAAGGCGTCAAGGTTTTGGTTGCCTACGTAGCACAGGCCCGTCAGCTCATCCGCGTCGACCAGCCTCATGATCAGGATGACGATGGTCTTCACCGCGGGGATGGCCCAGGCAGCAATATGGAAATACGAGCTGTGCATCTCGATGGCCTCGTGGCCCCATTTGAGCCCGGCAGCCAGGAACCATGTCAGGGTGAGGATCACCCACCAGATGGAGCTCGCCATGCCGAAAAAGTACATCAGCAGGAAAATGATGGCGCATCCGGTGTTCTTCAGGCCCTCCTGGATGAGAACAGGTTCTACGGCCTCATCGAAGTCACAGGAAATCCTTTCTCGGCCTACGGTCAGCCGGACAATATAAGCGATGCTATAAATATTGTAGCACATGCTCAGGAATATGATGGGCCGCTCCGGATAGGAAAACCGAGTGGAATCGATCAGAAAGGTCAAGACCGTGAAGGCAGTGGAGATGAAACAGAGGCTCGCCCACACAGCCATCCAGATGTCGGTGAAGGCCTTGGCGGACCGGCTGTAGAGGCCCGCGTCGTAGCCGCACTTGAGGACGCAGCTCAAGCTTCTCCGGACCCAGATGTATTGATCGGAGTTCAATCCAACACTCTGGCATTCCTCCCCAGGGTGCAAGGGAGCCTTGCTGTGGAGGGGGATCTCTTCGTCTCCTGGCCCTTCCATGCACATGTGATTGTGGTCATTATGTGGGGGGAATTTGCTGCAGTTCAGGTTTTCTGGCCAGGAGAACCCAAATTCTTTCAGGACCGGCTCGCATCTCCTTTTGACGGACAGGCACATGCCACTGCAGGGGCCGATCGGGATGTTGATTTGCTCGGTGCACATGGGGACGTAGACGGAGCACAGGAAGAACTGGAGGAGGGAGGGAAAAAAGGACAAACTTCAGAAAAGGGCGTGCAAAATTATCTGCTACAATGTCCTACCAGTCAATGACTACTCCAACTTCAACTACAACAATACAAGAGCGCACAACAGATACAAACTCAATATAAACCGCTCTAAACTCAATTGCAGAAAGTACGACTTCAGCAACAGAGTGGTCAGTGCCTGGAACGCACTACCTGACTCTGTTATTACATCCTCTAACCCCCCACTCCTTTAACCTCAAACTATCCACTATTGACCTCACCTCATTCCTAAGAGGTTCTGTAAGGGGCGTGTATAAGTGCACCATCGTGCCTCCCGTCCCTGTCCTGTTGTCCCCATTTAATTGTACCTATTTTCTGTATTTTTATTCATGTTCATACTTATACCTATTATCTTGTAAGCGATTGACAAATCAAATATATCAAATAAAATAAAATAAATAAAATCTTCTCAATGTTTGGCATTCTGGACTTATCTGTGTTTCCTTACTTTGGCTACTTTAACAAGTGTGGACTTCAACAAGCGTGGACATGGCTGATGGAGAATTCTGTGGATTGAAAGCCATACAAATGTAAGTCAAGGGTTACCTGTATAGAAATCAACAACCAGGGACAAAAGCCCATCCTTTGTCTTCCTTAACATAGGTGGGGGGTTTTGTGTACAAAACCAGATCCAACGAAGCTAAACCGAAATCTCCAATCCAAATATGGAGGTGACTCCTACTGGTGTAGTGGACTCGCCCATGTATTTTTCTTGGCAACAGTGATTGGCTATTACTGGAATGTCTTTGCAGGTTCCCACCTGGAGAGTCAGTTTGGTCTAGTGGTTAAGGCACGAGGCTAGAAAGCAGCAGACTGTGAGTTCGAGTCCCACCTTAGCCAGTTGGGTGAATCTGGGCCAATCACCAGGAGATGGTGATTTCTAGTCCCGCCTTAGGCTTGAA